TCTTTTAACTTATACAATTTTCAAACTATGAGACTTATGCCCCACCTCACCAACCAAAATACCTTAATACCCAATTACGCAATTTTAAACATGTACTAAGGATCAAGCCGTTGTCTTTTTTAGCACAAAAAGTCTAGGGGGTGAATTGGCACCCTAGGTCACAAGCCTAATGGCTAAGTTAATTTATTGATTCAGCTCCTAAAACCACATCGGCATTCACAACCAAATAAAAATAATAAATTAAACACGATTCAGCTCCTAGGTCACAAGCCTTATAAATTTATCATTTTTTATATGTTAGAGAATTTGTAATTTTAGTGGTAGTAGCTTTAGTGACATATAATATTAAAAAAATCTTATTACTGAAAACAAATAGGCAGTTCCAATAAAAAAAAAAGAAAATTACAACATACACATCACAGACTCATACTAAGGCTCGTTCTATGGGCAATAGAGATTGCCTAGGTGGTCAGGGAGAGGAGGTTGGTGGCTGAAATGGGTTGTGGGTGGTTGGGAAGGCAAAAGGAGCGGCTGGAGTTATGTTGTCAGTGAAGTGGGAGGCTGGGACAGCGAGGGACAGCGAATGGGAAGAGTTGTGGATTGCAGGACAGTAAGAGGAGTGCTATCCGGTGCGAGTGCAACGGAAGGGACTGCAGGGACAGTAGGATATCCTGCAGTCCAAGCCTCAACAACTCAGAATGATGGTTGGACAGCAGCAAAATAGCAAATTTGTTGTTTTCCAGATGGTGGCGGCGATGATTGGTGGCTAGAAAAAACAACAACAAGTGGGTTAGGTGGTGGCTGGTGGTTGTAGTCGTGGGAAGATAGTCTGAATGCTTTCAACAGTGAAAAAAATGTAGCGGCGACAATGAGAGGAGGAATGTGGAAGATTAAAAAGTTGAAAATAAATACGCCCGCGAGAATGAGCTGTAATCAAAGCACCACTCGATCCCCTAGAAGGGAGAAAGAAGACGCCAACAATTGTCCAGAACAGGAACACGACAAAGCCTCCTCCACCTCACACATATAAGCCCTAGATAAGAAGGATTAGATCCGCCTATGGAAAGGAGGTGCCAATCCCTCGTGGAAAAGCCGATCACCCCACTTGGACCTTGACAAGTTCAGTCCAAACAAAGAAAATTGCGGGAGATAGCCACAACTCCCTTTACGCTACTTTCGCGGCTTCACAAGCGTGCCCACTTCATTATATACAAAAATAATTCAACTACAAGAGCATGTAAAATTGATATGATTGATTTGGCCATTGGACTTGATAATTAGGTATGATGGCCTAGCCAAGTAAAATACCTCCTGAGATAGTGGTCGTTTATTAAGAGCATAAGAATATATTCATTATATTAACAATTTGATAGGCTCCACTTACATATACTTTTTCAATGATGAAAAGTCATTCTTGATTTGAATTAAATTTGCCATCAATACAGTGATGGGGAACTATAGGTTTACAGCACAAGAGAACGAGTTTACCTGCCTTGAAATTTGTCCAACAGACAATACGATCAAGAGGTGGTCAACTCATCCATATCTTATGGAATCATAAATTTTGTTGGGCTTGAAGCTTAAGTTCATCCAAGAATTCCAATTCTTCGAGATATAGATGATTTTTCCTTCTTATATTAGTCAATATTGGATGGCAATACATATGGTAAAGGTAGCTCAAACTCAGTGGGGAGTATTGCCTCTGCCCCAAAGTGAGTATGGAGTGCCCTACAACTCTGTTTTAAATGTAATGTAATAGGTCCATAGAGCTTTTTTTAGCTTGTTGTGGCATTCGCTTTTATTTTTAGAGATTTTCTTTCTTAGTTTTATGAACATATTAAATGCCCAAATCAAACCATTGCTCGTCAATTATATATATATATATATATATATATAATATATATATATATATATAAGTAGTATCAACTTTGTATTGTCCACAATAGGAATTGATAGTCAATTGTTGCAGAACAAAGACCGTACTACTGCGATCACTGTAAAATGTTTAGGCACAACCCTGTCAAATGCTTCAGGCTTCACCCACATTTGAAATCGGCAGGTCCTAAAAACATCATCCATGTGGAGGAAAATATAGCAGACACTATTAATATTATAGAAATGTTGAATGAAAATTTGACTCATAAGGCTACTCCTTACCAACCAGTCCAACAGCTTCCGCCTATTGTTGTTGAGACACTCTTCCTCAGATCACAAATACTATGAATTTTATTGTAGCAGATGCTAGCACGAGTGGCTTGGAATCACCTATTGCGAGAGAAGAGGATACTCAAGTTCTGGAGGAGTGTCAAAATAAGGGTGCGCTGCAGGCTGAGTCAGATCAACAGTCAACCTCCATCGAAGATCCACATATTGTTCAGACGGGACTACGTCTGGCAGATAATTTACAGATTTAAAAATCTAGGAAGAATAAAAAAGGAATGTTAGATATCTGTAATCCTCAGGATGACTGTATCAAAGTTTCGGGCGGAAGCACACATCTAAGTATTTTGTTGGACTCCCGCCCTAGATCCAGGGGAAGGGGAAACGGTATATCCATCGAATACACCCACCATGATTAGGAGTTGTTTTATTTTTGTTATATTTTTGGGGAATACATGTAGTTTTAATCCCTGTGAGTGGGCTCTTTGTACCTACTCACTAAGACCTTTGTATCCTCTCTTTTATATCAATGAATTTTGACTTTTCAAAAAAAAAAAAAATAAGTAGTATCAACCTATCTTATGTTGCTTGATGAACTAATAGATTTTGGCATTTTAAAGGTTATGCTTCTGTAAAATATGATTCAACATAAAACTCCAAATCCATATAACTACATCATATTGCTTCCATTGACTTCCTTCAAGGAATCACTTGAACCCACTTTTAATAAGTCATTAGTAGCTAAAACCTTAAATAAGAAAATAGTTAATATTATTTTCCATAAATATTACTCGACCTTATATGATTAAACTCTCTAATAGAATCACCTTACAAAATTTGCAATTGGCATTTATTTGTTTCAAGTAAAAATAAGTCTAATTATGATTTGATATCTTCATAATGCAAGAATACAAACTACTATGATATCAAGTAATTTCTCCAATTTCATATCCACTATAACTCTTCTCATAGCTCATCCTAATAGAGCTATCCACTATAACTCTTCTCATAGCTCATCCTAATAAAGCCTAAATATCTTTTTAAATCACCTCCAATAAAAATTCTTTCTTTCTCAAGTATATAGTACAAGAGTTCATTCATCTCTTCCCAAAATTGTATTTTTTAAACTATTTTATAAATGAATTTTAAGAGTATAAGCATTGACCACATCAATAATGCTTATATTAATAGTAAACACTATCACAAATCATATTTACTTTAATAATTTTATCATTCAACTTTTTATCCACTACTATCATAATAGTATTTCTGTTAATATACTTTCCTACATACAAAAAACTTTAAACTTTCCATGATGCTTGTGAAATTTCCTCCTTTTCAATTAGTTTTCTGTAACCAAACAATAGTCAATATTTAATTAACCATTGTGAAATTTTCTTAAGATTTAAAGAACCCTAAATTCCTTGCAGCAGATATAATCACAGATTTATACCAAGACAACAAGGCTTAATTTTAACTACAATTGGTTTAAGTTGTAATAGTTCACTTAAGGTAGCATTCTATCACATACTTCACAACTTTCACTAAAATTGTGTCAGTTAAGCGTGATGCCTTAGCAAATTCTTACATACTTCTCACCATAATCGAGTTCAAGTCTGGACACAGTCCCTTCTAAGGAATGAAAAAAAAGTAAAATCAAATTTTAATTCATTTCATTAGTTTTGACGTGAGTTTTATGATTGAATATCAACCTAACATAAAATCCCACCTTTTTTATTAGGGATTGAGACCTGTAATTGAAGTTGTACTCTTCAAAAGTAGTTGAAGTTGTACTCTTAAGATAATTATATCACAAAAACAATAAATAAAAAAATAAATATTTTCAAAAGAAACCTAATGATGAACAAAAAAAAGTTTGCACGCTGGGTATATATCCTTCGGTAATAGTTTTCATTGGTAGTTAGTAGAGAAGATTTAGTGTCATAATATTCGAGATTTATAGAATATAAATCTAATCGTCAATATCACTGCAAAAATGCATAAAAGAATCTCTTTCACATCTATTTCAGCATTTCCTCTAAGTGAATTCAAATTAAACCAACTAAATTTCTCTTTTCAAACTATCCGTGATGTCATTTTGTTTTGTTTAGACAAAAATAATCACCCATTGGATGGTAAAACAATCTGATAATCCAGGAAGACCAGAACCTTGTCATTGATCATGCCTTCCTACTCAAGTTTTTTAAGAAAGCATAGTTCAGATAATTGTTCTGGATCTAAATTAGATACAAGTTCCTCCTATTTGTATTATATGTACTTTACGTCAATAAGTGATATTTTCTATGGCTAATAAATCAAAGATGTACTATTTTACTTTTAAAGAATACATCCTTTGGCGTTAGCTTTGCATTCTAATTGAATGTATATAAGCAGGATTTCTTTTGGATCAAACAATGCATATTATGTACAAACATTTGATCCGCCTATAACACAAATTTGATACTTGTGCCTCAAGATAATATGGAAAATGCTAGCATAAGTTCTGCTTAAAGCTTTGTCGTTGGAAAATATGATTTCTAGTACCAACATAGAAATTTATTTTTTACATTTTACTTCAAAGTGCAGACTTTCAAGATTTCCTTTGGCCATTTGATCTAATCGTTTCAAGCAAGGACATCCCAATTAACTATCTTGTCCTCGAAAATCAATTTGTGGCATGATAATTCTTGCTTTTCTTCTTTCAAATTATTTTTGTATACTAGCGCTTCTGTATCTAAATAACATGAATATGTATAGAAAAGTTAACGAATTGTTAAACTATGTTCAAAGCATTCTCAACACCAATATTAAACTAAATAACTCATAGAAAATCAAGCTACCTGTATCTCTACAAGTAAATGCTGCTCAATGGCATTAAAACAATCGACAATCTCCAGTTCAGACATCTTTGCTATAAGTTTTTGTATGTCAGTGCTCATCCGAGCCTGCCTCCAGAGCCGCTGCTGCTCCTGCTCAGCAGCTGCCCTCCTTTTCTGGAACCACGGCATGAAGTTTTTCCCCTCTAAAAACCGTCTGAGATACAAATCAATAGTAACACGAATAAGAAGAGCCTTCAAAAGACAATCCTCTAAAAACTCACAATGCATCAAGCATCAACAGCTACAACAAATTTACCACCTATACAAGTCCAGCCAGTTGGACCTAGTCCTTTTCGATAGGAATTTTCCTGGACCTCTAGCTGCCAGCGAACTGAGAAACTCATCAGCTTTAAATGGAGGCAGTGCTGGTGGGCTGCCAAATGGCGAGCTCGTTTCTGAAGGAGTGATGGCTCTCAGGTAAGGGCCGAAGGGTGCAAGGAAATTCGTCGTAAGCTCAAGGAAATGTCGCCGAAGTATCTCATTGTTAACAACCGACATGGACTCGTCAATCCTTTGAGAAACTCCAGAATCAACAAGCCGGTTAAGAATCGCAGTATCCGGTTTCGTTGTAGGACTGTAGCTGCTCCAAATAGCCTCTCTGTGCTTTGTCATGAGTGTGAGAGGTCCTTCTCGCCTCATCTTCACAGAATTGAAGAAGCTCGAAGGAGAAAGCCTGTCGAGCAGGAGCTGCCTGGTAGGCCGAGAAATTTGACCTGCTGAGGCCGGGCGAGGGGAAGCCGGATGCACGCCGGTGGCATTAGGGATGGGACTCCCCACAGAGATGACATGGGGAATGCTGCGTAAGGCCTTGAGAAAGAAAAGATTGGTCACTCCGAGGACCATGGGGGGGAATCTGTCATCTTCAGGAAGGGAATTGAGACGGGCAAAGTCCGGGTCGTGGATGGTAAAGTAAGGTCGGAAGTCGACACTACACATAAGTGGAGCTAATAGGCTGACGAGAGCTGCAACGGCCTCGGAGCATTGTGTGGGAGTGGGAGCGATCACAAGAAGGGGCTCACCAAGAATCATGAGCTCCCAAAGGGTCCAGAGATGTAAGAGAATACCCCGGAAGGAAGCGAATATATCGGCCTCGTGAAAGAGGCCGAATGCCACAGAGGCGTTGGGTGGCGGGAACTGTGCGGGGGCTAGGTCTTCGGGAGCCGGCGGTAAATGAGCGCGTAGAGCGGCGCCGCCGATCGGGAGGTCTATGGCATTGCCAGGGGATGGAGACGGCCAGGCGGCGACATGAGAGGCGACGAGCTCGAGGGCAGTACGGCCGATATCGAAGCAGAGCGGACCGAGGATCTGTAGTAGAGGGCGGAATACGGAAGTATAGGGAGAGTTCGAAAGGATGACAACAGACTTCTGCTCGCCCCCGCGCGGAAGCCGATCGTCCTGGCGCTGACGGTTGAAAACGTAGCCGTAAACGAAGCCATCGCGGATGTCGGCAGATGGGAAGCGGAAGGAGAAGATGGAGTCGTGGATGGAGGATCCATGTCGGGGATGGTGGCGGGACATGGAGTCGGGGAAGGACGAGAAGGCGACGACGAGCTGATGGTCGGGTGTGAGAGAATCGGGTGGGTAGCATTCCTCGACTACTTGTCCTCGCTCTAGGTCGAAGCGGATGATGCAGAAGGAGAGAATCCAGCTCCGGAGTGCGCCAGGCGTGGGAGTAGGAGTGGCGGTGGGTTCCGGTGAGGTGGGATCGCCGCGAGGGGAGAGAGACGGGGCTCGGTTCATGGCTTCGCCGTCACCGTTGCCACGATCGGGTTAGTCCAGTGATCTATCCTTTATCCCGGAGTGCCGCGACATTTTGACACTTTCTTTCTCTCCTCTCTGGTCTCAACTTTGGTAGGGTTGGAACTGAGAGTGGGACATCGAGGGGACCTGCGGTTCGCCGGCGGCTGTACGGTGCGCTTGAAAGTTTGAGGATCTGTGACTGCAGTCCAATCAATTGTGGGGAAGGCATGATTAATGGAAGGACCTTGATTAGGGTGTTCGCATTTTTATAATAATTAATATAAATTAACGCTAGCAGAATTACCTTCCACTTCCATTTCTGCTCAAAAATATCATATTTTAATTTTTAAAAATAATATATATATATATATATCTTATATATATTAAAAATTAAATATATAAATACAAAAAATTGAGTGATATGTACGTAAATTTTCTTAATTTTAAAAATTTGGTAAAAAAATTTAAGGCACCTTAGATCGATTAAAAACAACATTATCACTTTTAAAAATAGAAGTTAATTTTTAAGATCTTTAATAATCAGCATATTTACACACATATTACGTAATTTATATATATTTATATATATCTAATAATTTAATTTCAGAGATATTTATATATATACTACTACAGTTCTTATGGAGTTATTTATCAAATATTTAAATTTTAATTTTACAAGGCTAAAAACTGTTAATATCGCGTAAAATAATTAATATATTTATTTATTTTTAAATTTAATTATATATTTTTATGTATAGATTTATAATATTAAAATATTATAATTATAAACATAAATATGTAGGTATTAGATACATTAATACGTAAGAATAGAGTCGAACGTATATGATTTTTTCTTAATTTAAATATTTACTTAAATAACATTTGTCTCGAGTCGCATTAAAAATATCATGTTATTTATACTATGACTCAACAAATGCTTACTGTGACTGTCATTTCTTATATTGACATTGTGATTGATACTATACATGATGTTCCATCATGTTCAATTTATTTTCTTTAAATACATGCCTATTGTTATTTCTTTATTAGAAGAAGTGAATTTTGAGTAGTCTACTGAGCTATGGTTGCACATCTCTGCTTTACTCGCATATATTGTTTTAAGGAAGTGTAAGGTTTGGGATGAGTAGAGACTCGTGTTACTAGCGAGAATCTGATATTATGTATATTAGTGCCTTAGATCTATATTATTTACATTCATGATGTTGTTTATTTTTATGATGATAAAGTGATTAAACTGTGTTGAGAAATTAGGGCGAAGAAAAACATGAATCGACACAAATCCAGAAGAACACACAAAACTTTACAAGGTTCGACAAAGATGCCTACATTTTCGGGGGCAGAGCGGCGACTTCCTTTCAATATTCAGAAAATAGCACATAATACAAAATTCAGAATATCAAAATCTCAGAGACTCGCCTAGAGTTACAAACAAGACATATATATAACCCTATAGTACAATATGTAATTACATAAATTACCCATGTACTAAACCGCAGGGTGTTTCCCCCGCACTGCCAACCCACATGCACTCGCACTGCCAACCCACATAATGAAACTCCCCCGATTGGACAGATCCTTCCGCTCCACTTCGCTCGTGGGCTCTGCTCCGCTCTAGCATATGTCCCATTTATGGTATATGAGCATACCTAACAAATCTCTATCTTGGCGAATATCCAGCCCCTTAGGAGAAATACATGTGCCCAACAAATCTACAAATCTCCACAACAAATCTCCACCTTGGCGAATATTCAGCCCCTTATGAGAAATACATATGCCTAACAAATCTCCACCTTGACGAATATCCAGCTCCTTAGGAGAAAATACATCATGGAGTTCCTTATGCACCAATGTGGGTTGGGTCACCACGCTTCCGCTGTGCCCTCGCCGATCCCCCCAACCCACTAAATTCCAAGAGACATCTTTTCATTCCAAAAAAACTCCAAATTCTGGTATTACGAGCGATACCTAACAAATCTCCACCTTAGCGAATATACAACACCTTAGGAGAAATACGTCATAAGTTCCTTTCATACCAGAAGTGGGTTAGGCCACCATGCTTCTCTAGCAACTGTAGACATTCAATAAGTCCAAGCAATGCAAGAACTTGTTGATAGTAACTGGTTTCGTCAACATATCAGTTGTATTCTCATCAGTATGAACCTTCTGCAACAGTATCTCCCCAGAAACAATCAATTCTCCAATCTTGTGATACATGACATCAATGTCCTTGATTCTCACATGGTACACCTGGTCCTTAGCCAAATAAATAATAAATAGCCCCCTGACTGTCACAATGCAACTGAACTCCACCTTGCTCAATGCCAAGTTCTTTTACTAGCCCGACAAGCCATAAAACTTCTTTAGCAGCTCCAGCTACTGTCATGTACTCAGCTTCAGTTGTAGATAATGTCACAGTAGACTGAATTGTTGATTTCCAACATATAGGCCCTCCACCAAGAGTAAACACATACCCAGTTGTAGACATTTTGTCATCCAAATCACCTGCATAGTTTGAATCAACATACCCCACAATTGAAGGATCATTCTGTTGATTGTCAAAAATAATTTCATGTCCTACAATACCCTTCAGATACCTGAAAATCCACTTGACTGCTTCCCAATGTCGCCTTCCAGGTTTAACCATGTATTTGTAGACTTGACTAACAACATGAGCCAAATCAGGACGAGTACACACCATTATATACATCAAGCAGTCAACTACACTGACATATGAAACTTTTGCCATGTCTTCAATTTCTGTATTTGTCTTAGGACACTGTTTTGAAGAAAACTTAAATTGATTTGCTAAAGAAGTGCTTACAGGCTTTGCTTGGTCATCTCAAACTTTTCTAGCACTTTCTCAACATAGCCTCGTTGAGATAAACACAATCGTCTTGAGTCTTTGTCTCAATGAATCTCCATTCCAAGAATCTTCTTCGTAGAACCCATGTCTTTCATGTCAAATTCCTGACTCAATAAAGCTTTCAAAACACGGACATCATCATATTCTTTGCAGCAATCAGTATATCATCAACATACAATAACAAAAAAATAATAGAACGATCATCAAGGCTCTTCATATAAACACAACAATCATACTCACATCTCTTGTAGTCAATCTGAATCATGTCGGAGTCAAACCGCTTGTACCATTGTCTTGGAAACTGTTTCAACCCATACAATGATTTCTTTAACCTGCAAACCAGATGCTCATGTCCAGGTTGAGTGAATTCTTCTGACTGCTCCATGTAAATCTGCTCCTCCAGATCATCATGTAAGAAAGCAGTTTTAAAATTCATCTGCTCCAAATGTAAATCCCAATAGCTACTAATGCAAGCACTGCCCTGATTGAAGTATGTCTGACCACAGGAGAAAAGATTTCAGCATAATCTATCTCTTTATGCTGTGAAAATCCTTTTCCAACTAGTCGAGCCTTGAACTTTTCCTTTTTTTTTTCTGATACTATTGGTTTTCTTTTATAGACTCATTTGCTCCCAATAGTCTTCTTTCTCTCTAGAAGCTGAACTAGCTCCCATGTGCGATTTTTCTGCAAAGACTCCATCTCCTCAACCATTGCTCCCATCCATTTTTTCTTTCTCCTTACTGGTGATAGCTCCTTGAAAAGTAGTTGGATCATCGCTGCTGATGAGAAGTACACAAGAGACCAATTCTTCATAACTCAATCTGTTAGGAGACTTTACATTGGTGCGTCTCTGTCTATCTCTGACTAGATTATAATTCTGCAGGTTATCTGGAATAGAATCACTAGGTGTTGGATTTGAACTTTCACCTCTCAGAAGCTACTGGCTGTTGTTCAAAATCTATCTGCACTGCATCTGAACTGGAACTCTTCTCTGACACCTTGCCTTGATTCTGCTGTAACATAAACTGCTCATCAAAAACTGCATCTCTGTTGATCATCATCTTCTTTGCAATCAGTCGAGCCTTGAACTTTTCCTCCGCCGAAAATTCTACTCATCCCAAACCTTACACTATGATTGTTGTAAATGTTTATTTTATCGTATATTGATATAATCTAAATAAATTTTGGGTATTTTTATTTTACAATATTTAATGATATCAGTGGCTCTGCATTTATGAAAATTGAAGAAAAATAAATAAAATTTCTTCCAAATAAATCTTAGGTAATAATTTATTTGTCATGACCTCGCCACGACGTAGCCCGCCTCAATATGACAGGTTGAGTCGAGTTGGGTTATGACACACGTCACTAAAAAAAGGTTATGAATGAAATCATTCAACTTAGTTATGTTCCTATACAACTTTAAGACTATTGATATCCTTACCAAATCACTACCAAGGTCAATCAAGATGAATTGAAGTCCAAGCTTGAGTTGTATAATATGTACAACCCAACTTGAGGGAGAGCATTTGAAAACGTTAATTTGCATTAAGAAGGAATCTATTTCTTTTTTTAGAATATATTTCGTTAATTTTATTTCCTTTATTAGATATTTTGTTTGTCCTATCTTTCTTATATTGAAAAGATTCACATTTTGTTTCCTTTCAGTATAATATATATGTAGCAAAGTGTAATGTATGCATGGGTAGAGCCAAAAATAAAATTCTTTAAAAAATTCTCTACTCTGCACTAGCACTCGAGAGTTTTCGAACGACTGTTATACTTCCAATGATGCTTTGAAGAAGATTAAAATTTGATTCAAGAGCCAAACATCAAGCATTCCAGTCTCCATATGGTAGAAAGGTATCAAAACTTTATGATCTCAAAGACAACAGAACCTTTTGCTTCACCAGATACCATCTTTAATGAAAATATTTCCTATTTTCAAGGCCTATCATGAAAATATTTTAATGTTTCGGTTTGGGAAATAAGTTGATTTTCACTAACTCTTTATGATTTTTTTGTAAAATTCAACCCTAGCACTATTAATTTCATAATGCTTGAAATGCAGAAAAGCCCAAAGAGTGATTTTTCGACTGAATTTAGTAATGTCTAATACCATACAATTATTTAAGAAAATATAATAGTATGATCAGCAAGAATACTCAAATAAACTTACAGCTCTAACAAATAAAAATACATACTATATAGATAGAAATTCTTACACATTTCATGATGCATATTTCGAATATTAAGCGACATGCATGTGCTATTATTACATGTGCATTATTACCAATACCAAAATCCAAACAAACTAAAATCATTTTTATCATGAAAACATTATGCAATGGCTATCGGAATCTCTGCGGATCATACCTACTTCAACGTCGAATAAATGGCAGCCAGCAAGAATAACCATGGCATCCATGAAACGGCCGGCGACAACATTACAGGTGCGGCTCCATAAGCTTCCATGACGCCAGAAACAAGCTGCATATTATCAAACGTTAAATTATAGGGGCATTAACATTTATACCACGGAATTCTTATGTATTTACATATCCAACAGCTAAATTTTGCTTTAGTTACATTTATACCCCGCAAATCTTTGTTATTAAATCAAAAATATCACCTTTACAAGTAAAGGTAAGGTGGAATGTAAGCAAAAATTGAAGTTCAGGTGTTAGATATGTAAGTGCACATATGAATTGAGTGGTATGTATGTAAATCTTCCTAAATTATAAAGCTGATATTGCAGTTTTGTAAAATAACAAGCATGGTAGAAACTGCTCTACCTTCAAATGTAAGCAGGCAATGACTGCACCAGCAAGCACAAAGGCCTTTCTTGGCCAACCAGCACAAAACTTATATCCTAAAAATTCAGTTGTGCAAAAAGATTGAAGAAAAGTTCTATTATTTTCTGTTTGGAAATTCATTTGGTTGTCTGAACAATTATTGTTCTGGCTTGAATGAAAGAAAGAAGCAGATCTTTCTGCAGAAAAGCTGTAAATTAGAAGAAATAAAGGGGTGATAATGAAATACATGAAAGGCAGGGTGATTGTCATTGAATCAGGAATTCCAATCCATTCGCTCGTAGTTTCGCCGCTTGAAGTTCGCATTCTCCAACCAGACAAACATAATTCAAAAATATTTCCTTTCTCCGAAGTCGCGTGACCCCAAAACCATGGCATTGTGAGTAAATAAAGAAGGTAAATTACCATGGCATACCATAGCTTCTTAGTCCTTGAACCCTCCATCAAAAACCACAGTAATCTGAAGAGAAATTTTCTCTGGTAGAAGGAAGGAGATGAAGAGATGAAAGCTGACATAGCCCACTTCTGATAAGATGAATTTCTCTCCATGAATAGATTCAGGAGCTTTGGAAGGCATAGAAGCAGTACAAGAAAGTAAATGTTGCTCCATTTGAGAAAATAAAAAACTTGCTCCCACTGCAAATCAAAAACCAAAAAAGCTAACAATGAAGATGAAAATCCGGCTGTTTTACCTTCGACTGAAAATGGCCTCAGTTCAGTAGCTGTTTGCTCGCCCTTAAAATCTATCACACGCACTTGCAGCCAATAGCGAGTCGCAGAGGCACTCACATAGTTTTCCGCATTCCATTTGGCATGATAGAGAGGCTTGCCATTAGAAGAACCCGAAGCAGGCTGCAGCGGTATCTCCTCCATCAACTTGACAGCTCTCCACGAGTCAAAAATATTCGCAGTCACATTAATGATTCGTTGAACCGAGAAAACCAGAGCATTTATATCATTTCTTACTAGCTGGGTATGCTCCTTAACTCTACTCATGCTTCTCGAATCCATAGGATAGGTAACGAGGATAGAAGTCTTGAAGCCGTTAGGTGGCTCGCTTATGCTAAGAAGCTCCATATCCAGAAACGAAACATCCCCTCGATCAATGGCAAGAATTCTGATAAACCTAAATTCCTTCCAATCCCCAAGTTCCCATTCCCAAAAATGAGATAGTGCTTTAAATGTATGCAGCCTCCATAGCTGTTTTCCGAACTTTGAATGAAGGTGGCCACAAATGTATGCAGAGATAGAATGCCTTGCAAAAACCGGTTCATATCTCTCTCCTGTTTCAGCTGAAGCTGTGAAAGACATTGGGAAATGGCCGAACACGACTTTAGTGACAAAAGCAACAGGATGATTATCCCAGTACTGAAGTTCAGCTTCAACAGTGTGAATCCTGTTAGCAGATGGATGGCCAAACAAATTTGATGGGCCACGAAGTCCAATTCTCATTGTGTCATCTATACCCAAAAATATATATCTTCGATCCTCTCCCTAGAAAACCTTTAAGAATAGATCAGCTCCAATGTTACAAGCAGGAGCAGAGGTAAGAAACCAAAAACAACAGTTTACATCAATCTAACTATTTGTTTTAAAAGCAATATCAAGAAACTATTCACCAAAAGTTTCTTTTTCTCATTTCTCATTCCATCAACTATGCCATATACTAACTTTTCAGTTTTGCATTCATATATAATTTAAATTCTAATTAGTATAATCTCATGTCAATTTCAATTTTAAAGTCAAAGTTTAACACTTGATTAGGCATAAAAAATTAATTCTAAGGAACATGGCCTATTAAAGAAACAGATTCTGATTTGAAGCCATTCCATATGGATTCATATTATAATTGCAAAATATATTCAGCATCTTCTATATCCTTAACGGAATATTAATGAACTATTGTTTCTTCAATTGGATCAACTTTCAATATTAACACGATAAAGCATAATAAATTAATTCTGATGAACAGGACCTATTAAAAAAACAGATTCTGATTTGAAGCCATTCCATATTGATTCATATTATAATTGCAAAATATATTATGCATCTTATATATCCTTAACTGAATATTAATGAACTATTGTTTCTTCAATTGGACCAACTTTCAATAAACATGATTCTTATATCAATTTATACTTTATATGCTTTAAATGAGATGCCACTTCGTTTTCTTTATGAATTGAAATAAGTGCATCAATCCTAATAGAATGCTTGTAACATGGCTCAAAACACAAGATTTAAATAAAGCCTTGAATAATTTTTTCGATTAAATGTAAGCTTAGTTAAATCCTCAACTCTCGCCAAAGATTGTTGGTGAAGCAAATAAGAGTAGCAAAATAATTTAAGATGTGTAAACCTCGCATAATATTCAAACACCAATTTTTTTTTAAAAAATTATGAACTTGATAATGGTATTCATGTCATTATTCAACAAATGATAGATAATTTTCTTTAAACATATGTTTCATGCTTCATGTTGATTTTATTCCATTTCAAATAATCTTTCAAAACATTCATCCCAATATTTAGCAAATGGTAGATAATTTTCTTCAAGCCTATAATTCATGCTAAACCATGTTTTTAATTCACTTCAAAAAATTTGTCAAATCGAGTGAGCATGTATTATTAATCATGTTTCAACAGCTTCAACATTACAGGATTCAAATAAATGATTATGTGCAAATTCTTTCAAATCATTGATTTATCATGAATTTTTTTAAAGATCATACCCCAAATTTAATGCATCAAATATGGGGATGTAGTTTTAAGCCTACCATAATTATAAAGTGTTTGTTTAGAACCATAAGCTAATTGTTCCTAATTAATTGCATCATTTTAATTGATATAACGCCACCAAGCACTGGGACCAATTTGATGCAAGATAACACAAGGTTAGATGCGACTTACATGATTCATAGTAGGCTTGCAAGTAAAGAAAAACTGAGGATTCACAAATCACATGACACCAATCAATCTAGCTCACTTTCTATGAAATAGCTATCTTCAACATTTATTAATAATAATTAATAAAAAAGCACTATTAATAAAACCTGGATCATAATATCCAAAACTTCTAAAAAAAATTAGAAACAAACAAAATCAAATTGATTTTCATAAAACTAGATTTATGGCACGTCACTTTTTGGCCAAAATCAAGAGCATAAAACTGAATGGTAACAAATTTTATAGAAGAATAAAACAAAAAAAAATTACTACAGGAAATATCATGGCGCATACCAAAACAAAGAGATGAATTCCGAGGAAATCAAGTAGTTACACTTGTACCACACATCAATGAATCAATTTGCGCTCACAAGTCACGATAGCATACATTGAAAGATAAATTTTAAACAAGCCAAAGTTGTGAATTAAATGCCTCATACCAAATCCTCATAGCCTAGGTTAATTATTGATTTTGGCATATGAACAATCTAAATTTAAGTCTAAATTAATCCTAATTAAATTTCAAATTCCTCAAAAGCAATCGACCCTTCAATTTAATTTGAAATCACCAACTCAACAAAATTATAATCATTCGTGCCAATCTCATAAACTGATAAAGCCGCAAAATTGCCCCTTACCAATGTTGCATGAAAAGCGACCAAGGGTCAAACCCAATGCAATACTATGACTATTGCATGTCAATAATATGTGATTCAAACTCCAAAACACTCACTTTTTTTCTTTTTTAAATACAAAACCAATGCTCACATGAAAATTCTCGCATCACAAGTGATTCAAATAAACCTGACTTTTAGGTTAAACTTGTCCATACAAAAGATATATGCTATGCAAAAATCAGAATTTTCTGTCTTGGACTTCAAATGTAAGCGCATTTACATACTCATAAGTAGAGTTGAGATTTCAGCTCAAAGATCGCTCAAAGATTGAATTAGTTTTTTACTCGAATCAAACCAAAGAGTCCATCCATTAGCCAATTTTTTTTGTCACAAACAAACTTTTGAGCCATTTAAAGTAAGGCCTAGACAGAATCAAGCTTGCCCCAAATATAATAATATGTATATTTTTAATTTTTCTATGTGATTGTGGATATTATACAGAAACATAAATTAGAATTGAATATTTTTAGAAATCCAAAAAAAAAAGGAAAGATAAATAATTTCAAGTAGGCTCAATTCAAATTCTATTCTACTCAAGATCAGGCTTATTCGAGTCAAGTCAGCTTGAAAACAAATCAATTTGATCCACTAGTACATCTTGAGCCAGCTTAAATATATCCAAGTTTATTTCAAGTATGCAATGTTGGCAAATCAAACATCGCATCCTACCTCGTCTCTTACTCTCTCACCCCGAACTCAACTGATATATAACAAGAGAATAAGGTTGGCTGACCACCTATCATCCCAATATCTTGGGTGTCAACAAAGCGTATTGAGTCTGGGAGTGTAGATAAGAGGAGGTGAGTTATTGGCCAACGAACTCCCTCCCCTTGCTCTCTCTCTCACACATAATCATTCACTGTTTTCCCTTCGTTTTCTACATAAAAAGAAGATAGTCAAAGGTAAATTAGTTACAAAATCACCACATGAGCTGACATCAAACAAGTTCCTGACACATTTTAATGGAATCCTAACAAAAGTAATCTAACTAAACTGCATCATAAGTAGACCTGGGCGTTGAGTGGGCCGGGTTTAGCGTGGGACGGGTTTATTCGGGCTATACGACTAGTCAAAGCAGGCTGGGGTTAGGCTGAGCCGCCATGAACTTTAAAAGAAAAGTGATGCTTATACCAAAAAAAAAAAATAATAATATCTTTAAATTTTTGTCTCAAATCATGTTGTTTTAATTTAAAATATTAAAAAATATATACGTAATATGAACATTTGAAACACAAAAGAATGTGCGACAATACTTTAAAATTGGTTTTAAATGTAAGAATTTTTCTTATACACTTAAGTGAATTAAATAACAAATGTATACACAAGATTTTAAACTGAGAATATCTCGATATGTAAACACAGAGTTTAATAAAATATTACACAAAAAAAGAATTTACAAACATAATACTCATCAATTTCTATTTAATTACATATCTAACACCTGGGCTTCAATTTTTACATATTTGTCATCTTGTATATGCATGAAAGTTTACTTCATTTTAAAAAATAATTAAAAGTGATAATTTTATGTGATATAAAAGATTTAGTTGGTATTAATATAAAAATAAAAAATTATGGCTACATAAAGAAGAGAAATGAGAATGAAATTAATCGCCTCAAAAGCTTGTAATCGCGAAATATAATTATGAGACAAGGTCAATGGGCAGGTCGGGCTTGGCGCAGTTCAGGCTCGTTCGGGCTTTGACTAAGTCAAAGCAGGCTCGAGCTGGGCCGGGTTGGCAAAAATTTATCTTTTTCATAGCCAAGCCCGCACATTCTAAACGGGCTTATGGTGAGCCCGTTGGGCCGCCCGCCCAATGGCCCGGTCTAATCATAAGCTTGACTTAAATAGTTGGGTGGATATAAACATTGACAAATTTGCACCTTAGATAAAATATCGAAAATTCCCTTGCAATTTACAAAATAAGAATAAGGCGACATTTTTTGAAAAATTTTGCAATTGTGTACGCTTCCAAAAAATGACACTTTGAATGGGTGTATACCCAGATTCTCAAAATGTCAGCGAAGCAGATGTCTCATGAATTTTTCGAGTAATTCTCTTAATTTATGACTAAAAAAAGTATGCAAATTCATCTCTCAAGCAGAAAGTTAAATGATAACTGATCGTCAAGGAAAGCACCAGAAGCCTGACAATTACTGCGTGAAGAAAAATTAAAGGGAAATGTACATTCACAGCACACAATTCTTATGTATTTAAATATCTTAGATCTAAGCTCTCATATTTACATAGTATTTTGGTGCTTTAAACTATACATAAAAAGGTGTATTTTACTTTTAAAAAGTGATAATAATACTAATTTTTATGTGATACGAAAGATTTGAGTGATGTGGGTGTATAAATGAAAGCTTAGGTGTGAGATGTGTAAATATATAAGAATTGTGTGCTATCTATGTAAATACACCAAAATTAAAAGGACCTACCACAAGAGATATACTCTGAATGGTGCCAAGCCTATTGAACTGTGAACTGATACTATGAACGGAGAAGAAATCAAGTGTGCTTCCAACATAAGGAACGCCATATTTGTCATGATTTCCTCGTATATCAAATATTCTTCTCCTCTCTAAACCACTTTGCTTAACCAGGGCATCCATTGTGTCACTGTATTGAATCCACTCTGATTCATCCTGCCTTGTGCTCGTTCTTTTTTTGTTTTTCGCATCTGAGTTCATTTATAGTTTTAAGCACTTAAACATCTCTTTCCAAATATACATATATACATATACATATATATATATATATATATATATATTGCAAGTAAAATTTGAGGATAGAAAGCTGCTTAAAAAGATGTGAATTTACTAAAGAAAAGCTAAAGCAAATGGCAAAAGCAAAGCATGAAATAGGGAAAAGGAGCAAATAAGATTTTACATTTCTCTTTTGATGCTGAAAAGCGAAGTTAAGACGCATGAAATAAATAAATCAAAATGTCTAAGAAATAGAAAAAGCTTCATCATTAGACAAAAATTCACCATTTTAAATTTTAAAATGCTTACAATTCTTCCATACATCTTGCACGGCTGACGATGGTCTTGAAGCTGAAGGGTGGGTTGTTTTATTGGCTTTGAAGATTGCTGTTCACTTAAAGTGGAATTACATTATTTGTGAGATCGATTCCTTGCAGCTACTTAATATAAGATATACATTTTGGACAGAATTTATGGAATTTCAAGAAATTTGCAAGTTGTTTGGCAGCACATTTTAGAGAAGCAAATCGGGTTGCTGACTGGTTAGCTAAAAGAGGCGCATCTTCTTCTTTTGTCGCCACACACACACAGACATCCATCCATGCATGCATGAGTAAGTCCCCTATGGTCCCGGGTTCGAGACTCGCCTCTAATAAAGAACATATCTTTAACTAGGGTGGATCACAAGTATATCTTCTGGTCCACCTTTAAATACACACACACATACATACACATACATTTACAATGCCATTTCAACATTTTGAATGGAATGTCATGTCAATAGGTTTGAAAAATGCCCCTTCTGAATTTAAATCTATTATGAATGATATATTAAAATATTATTTTGAATACATCATTTGCTTATATTGATGATGTTTTAATATTATGTAAAACTCTTGAAAGACGCATTAAGAATTTAAAAACTTTTGAATGTATGATACAACAAGCTAGATTAGTTATTTTGCATTCAAAATTCAAATTATTTCAGACTAAAATTTGATTTTTGGGACAATATATCTAATACTTCTATTATTTCTATAAATAGAAGTATTGAATTTGCAAATGAGTTTCCTGATCAAATTCTAGATAAAAATCAGCTACAAAAATTTCTAGGAGAACTAAACCATGTAGTCGGTTTCTATCAAAATTTAGCAGTTGATGTTGCTCTCTTGTTTAACAGGTTAAAGAAAAACCCTTCTCTATGGACAAATATCCATATTATCGTTGTCCAAAATATTAAACAAAGAGTTTAAAAACCTACTCTATTTAACTATTTCAAAAAAAAGACATTTTGAACAAAAAAGTTTAGAAGTTCCCTCAAAACCGAATGAAGTAGTTTTACTCAAATAACTATAATTATTGAACATTTCACGGGAAATGTATCAAACCACAGAGAAAGAACCATGTCTCTTTTCTAAAAAGCAAAGTGTCCTTCACTCACTCAGCTTAGGTACAAAGATACCTTCTTATCTCCAGTTATGATGCTATCCGATATCAATTCGGTTAACCAGAAATAAAAATTTATCAAAAGATTGCCTAATCTAATCACGGAAAAGGTAAAAAGAAACCTTTGAAACCCACAATGACATCTTTACATATGTAAATCTAATAAATACACCTGTTAAAACTGGTCCTGACCTTTGCGTTAATATTAAGCTTAATAAGCAGCTCAAAAAAGAATAACTCACCAAGAGAAAACAATTACGTGAGTTCTGTTACCAATTTGCTTTCGATATTCCTAAAATTGCTCCATCACAAAAAAAAAAAAAAGAATTATTCCCAAGAAAAAGAAATGGAAAAAGAAGTCTTCTAAACATATAAAATTTTCCTTTTCTAAACCTAAAAAGAAAAAGGAAGAAATTAAATGTTGAGACTAGGTCACTATCCTAACCATTGCATTACAAAGAAAAAACTTACGTAAAATCGACAAACCACTACATCAAACTCTAATGAAGCTCTTGTTAACTGACTCAAAATCCTCTTCATCTGAGAAAGTAATTTATGAATCTTCTTCGTTAGAAGAAGAAAATCAAAATTCTTTAAGTTGTTGTCAAGGTTATAATAATTCACATTATCATAAAAAATATTATCGAAATGACAAGATTATTTACCCTCACAGATCAATAGAAAGAAGAAATTATAAAAGTTCTTCTACAAATTGAAGATATTTCTACCAAAAAAACAATCTTATACTTTTTCAACAAAAAAGATAAGAATAATATTGGATACTCCTTTTCTGTTGCAAATAATACATATTTAAAAAACTGAACAGAGTGGCATTAGTTGCACTAATTTTATAAAAATATTACATTTCATTTCATTACTGATCCTCAAGAAGTGATTATTAATAAATGAATCATATTAAATTTAAATCTTTACAAATTAATTATTTAAAAGAAGTTTATGAGAAAACTCTAAAAGCTTAACTTAATTCTAAAAATATTCAGTTGAAAATCTCTAAACTATTCAAAGATTTTCAATAAAATATTTGCGAAGAAATTCCCATTTCTTTTTAGAAAAAAAGATCTATAGTGTTTTCCTGTTGTATATTGAATGGTTTCATGAGATAAATATACCAACTAAAGTAAGATCTTGTAAAATGAATAATTCATACTAGCATTATGTAGGACATAAATTTCTGATTTATTATCTAAAGAGTTAATAAAAAATCCTTATTCGCCCTAACCATTTACTGCATTTATATCATGAATGCAACAAAAAAAAAGAAAATAAAAACTAGGTTTGTAATAAATTAGAAGCCGCTTAATAAAGTCCTTAAATGGATTAGATATCATATCACTAATAAAAAGGACTTAATAAATTATATAAAGATCGTATCTTCTCCAAATTTGAATTAAAATATGGCTACTAGCAGATTCAATTCAAAGAAAAGAATAGATATAAAGCAACATTACAGTATCATTTGGGCAATTCGAATGGAATGTCATGCCCTTTGGCTTGAAAAATGTTTTTCCTGAATTTCAACATATTATGAATGATATATTGAATAATCACTTTGAATACATCATTATTTATATTGATGATTCTTTTGTGTTCTCTAAAACTCTTGAAGAGCACCTTAAACATCTAAAACTTTTAAATGGATAATCCAGCAAGTTAGATTGGTCATTTCCACCCAAAAATTAAATTATTTCAGACTGAAATAAGATTTTCAAGGCACAATATATTTACTACCTCTATTATTCCAATGAATATAAGTATTGAATTCTAAAATAAATTTCCTGATCAAATTCTTGATAAAAATTAACCACAAAGATTTCTTAGAGCCCTTGACTATGTAGCCGATTTCTATCAAAATTTAGCAAATGATATCGTTCCCTTAATTAACAGATTAAAGAAAAATCATCCTCCTTGGACACAAATTCATAATATTTCTGTCCAAAAGATTAAACAAAGAGTTAAAAACATTTCATATTCAAAACTTTTTAATCCTGATTTATACCAAATAGTTAAAATGGATGCCTCTAACTTAGGTAATGGAGACATCCTAAAACTAATTAATTCCACTAAAAAGGAAGAATTAATTCATTTTACTTTTGGTAAGTGGAATTTTATTAAAAAAAATATCCCAATATTAAAAACGAAATGTTGTTCGTCGTGAAATATATTTCAAAATTGCAAGATGACATTTCACTTTGTATTGAGTGTTCTTCTGTTATGTTTTACAGAAAAATGTAAAAAAATTAGTTTAAAAAAAAAATTTTGCCGCATGACAAGCACAAATATCCATTTTTTATTTTGATATTGAATATATTAAAAGTACATTTAATTCTCTGCCTGATTTTTTAACATGAGAATTCTTGCAGCAATCCTCGGGGGTGGATCACCCCCAATCAACACCAAAATGTCGTTCTCTAATCCAAATATCAGAGGTGGTGTTTCCTCTCACGGAGGGAGAGGAAGTTATTGTTAGGTATGACTCATATCTATAGAGTTGGAGTTTCTTGGTGAAGAGGTGTGACTCCTGGTGAAAAAGAGTGTCTCTTGAAATAAAGGGGGTTAGGAGGAGCGAGAGCGTGATTGTAATTTTATCTGAGGGTTTGTATATGTCTATATATATGTGTAACTCTATGGGATGTATTGTAACTTCTCTGAAATGGTGAAACCGCTGCTCGCTCACAAGGACGTAGACAATTCTTTGTCGAACCTCGTTAAATCTCTGTGTTCTTCTTCTAATTTGTGTCGAAACCTGTTTTTTTCTTCCGCTTCAATTTTCTCAACAATTTGTATCAGAGCCTCGTTCGAGGGAACAGGAGGAGATCGACGCAGGAAGAAGATTTGAGAAGGAAGTTCGGGCGATTTTGCAGGTTTTGCGGCAGTTCCTCGAAAGGTTCGACATCAAAGTGTACGCGACAGTCAGAAGCAGATCTTTCTACGAGAAGAAAGATAGGACCAGATTGTGAGTTCGTGTGAGTGCTTCGCTGAAAATTCACAGAGGAAGGGGCGAACCGCTGGAGGGAGTTATGTTCGTGTTATTGGAGTTCGCATGCGTCCATCGGCGTTCGCAAACTGAAGGAGTGCTTGCGTTCACGACAAAGGATTAAATCGCGGCAGGCCAGGCAACGCAGAGTTCGGCGAGTCAGGCAAAGGAGTTGCGTCGGATTCGTGAACAGGCGGGCCATTCGCGAGCAGGGTCCTGGCGAGTCGAGCGAGTCGGGTGCTGGGTTCTGTGAAGGAGGCTTTGCGTAGGATTTTCTTCGCTCGGTTTCGCGAAGGAGGGAAGGAGAAAGGCTGGGCGCAGGCCTTTCGCAAACAGGCGGGAGAGTTCGCTGCAGTTGCAGGAAGGATAATCACGCTCTTCAATTGGTGGTAGCGAACAAGAGTTCGCAGTACCGTGAAGGGGAGGAGAAGGGGAGGAGTTCGACAGGTTTGGAAACAGAGGCTGTACCCCACGAACAGGAGCCTTATTTTGCGGAAAATCTGAGAAATTCGATCAGTTAAATTTGTCGGTTCG